AATTTGTGGTGAACATATTGACAACTAACACGGTGCCTGAAGTGTTACTGTGGAAAATTTAAGAAGTGTTAACATTTTCTTATCATGCTATCTGGCCGCAAAGCTTATCATAGGTCTGATAATCTGACAGATAGGCTTGTCATTGAATATCATGGAAAGAAATATGATCCCTAAACCCAAGAACATTTTTCATCTTATAGGGAAGAAAATGGTCACCCTTGGTGGACTAGTGTTTAGCATGTTCAACACCGGACCCCAAGATTAACTGGTTTAGTCCCGGCCAAGGTAAATGGATTTTTAAGGGTGATAAAAATCCGTGACACAACTTCCTTCGGAGGGGAAGTAAAGCCGACGTTCCCATATCATAGATTTACTGCATGTAAAAGAACCTTATAAGCATGAACGAGATGTTTCATAAACAAAATTCAGCAGCCAAGTCTCTTCTGATTCTCTACTAGACGGCTGTAGCAGACAAATCAAGATTGAGTAGATATCGTGCAGTGGCAGTGGGCTTGTCACTCACTACTCAAAAATGCACACTTGAAAGACAAATAAACCTCCCACATGGGATAGGGCCAAGGCTCCATTTTGGACTGTTGTGCCATAGAAGAAGAAGGGAAGAAAATGTGCTACTTTTAGAACAATATGTATTCCATGAAATTTAATCAAGATAATATATGGTACACAAATTTTTATATATCATACATGTGTCTGTAATAACAGTTTGTTGTATGATGACAGAAAGAAATTACATTGTGACCAATGGTACTACTCAGTATATATTTCTGGGTTTAGTGGAAACAGACACAAATAAAAATTAGATGATCACTTACCAGAGGTGATGTAGTGAATGTACTCAGGTGTGGAGTTTGCTAACAAGTGCAATAGCAGGTGGAGTTGTTTGTTGCTTTTATTGCATGGTGGTCACTTGCTTTCTCCAGTGATGTTCTCTCCTATCGCTTGCTTTACTCGTCTCATTAGTGTAACTGCTGCTTATCTACTAGGGCACATGGTGTCAGTCAGTTCATTACTTGTGGCTCATGATTACAAACTGAGTGGCTGGATCAAGTGAGGACTAGATAACGTGTTACTGTAGTTGCATCTTCCAATTTTTAATTGTATTTGAGTTAGGGAATGGGTCCTATAAAAGAAAATATAATGTTCTCCATTTAACTGTGTAGTGGTGGTTGTAAGAAATCATGCTATGTGAATGTATTTGCTTAGACTAAAGAATAAATATGTGTTTAAAAGTTGGATGCTACACATTTAAGAGGGCATGTAGACACACAAACAAAATATAAAATGTAAATAGCGAAATACTTAAAGTTGCCTCTTAGTATGTCAGTGGATTATTGCTCTTTATTATCTATTTCTTCTTCAGAATCCTTTTGGTTAACTGCATGTTTGTGTCTGTCCATCCTTTCCATTGACGTTAAATTTTAATTTCTCTCTTTTTATTAACTTGTGATGACCAACATCCTGTTGAGAGACAATTCATCTTCATACTTTTTAATCCATATCCTTCATAATATCAGAATGGCTGTCTTGCAAATTTCTGAGGTGAAAAGTGTACTTATGCATTTTCACTTAAATTTTGCATTAAGTTAAATCATTGAATAGCTTTGTTTTCTTCAGAGGATGCATGGTAATTAGAGGTTTTTGATTCCAGTCAGATTATGGCAACAGAGGTGTTGGAATTGTTTAAAACAAATTAGAATAGAATTCAATTTTTCACATATGATTACAGAATGACCATTTATAAAGTTGAAGTTCTCACATATCCATGATTCACTGCTATGCAACTAACTTTAACAAATTTGTACAGTATTCAGTCATGGTGTTTCAATGATGGAGGTTATGGAACTTCTCAAAAACTTTCTTATGATGGTTATGAGTGTGGTGATACTGATAAAATTGGTTTACATACGTTTAGTTATAAAAGCTGTGGAAGTTCCTCTGCAGTGTCAGGAAAAACATTTGTAAAGCTCAGATTTCAGTTTCTCAAAGTGGTGGGTATGAAGATGACTGTCTTCTGGCATCCTACACCATGTGGTCTGGTATTAACTGCTCTGGCGTTTCAGATGTGCTTTCTGCCTCCATCATCAGGGCATCACCCTGATGGTGGCGAAAGTAAGCAACTCTGAAACTTCAGTAACTTTCTACCAAACAGCACTGCACAATATCCAAGGCGATAGCCATCTTCAGATTTGTAGAGTTTGTTATTCTGTGTTAAGATTGTAAGGTGGTTAGGGTTGAAGATGTTGGGTTGTGGTGTACATTGTTACCGATCGAGCTTCTGGTATAGGCTGCTACTTTAGTTTGATACTAACTGTTACCGCCAGATCGCTTTTATTATAGGTTCATAGCTGTGGTGCATTGCCAACCGATCTGTATGTTGATTATCAGTTGGTATCTGTGTTGTACGGAAAGGATATGGCGGATAAGCAGTTGGACGTTAAACCGGCTGAGAAAAGAGCTGTTGAAGCATATTCAAAAAGGAGAGTAGCATTGCGTGAGGAATATATTAAGCAGATAACAAATCCTCATAGGCATGGAACAGGAGAAGGTGGAATATTAGTAAGGAAAATCTGTCGTGCCATATTTAATCTTCATGAGACATAGGTCATGTGATAATTTTTCTTCCGTTTCGAATAGAAGTACAGATCGTCTTCACGAAATGTGTTGGTTTTCATAAATCCATATTCAGTCACATTTTGTATTATGTAACTATAAATCTACCTGCTTGTATTGGTTACCTGAGCGTGTTACATGGAAGCATACCTAAGAACTTAAAGCTTTTGAGTAATAACGGGATGTAGAATCATAGCTGTACTTAATTGTATTGTTATGGGGCAGTGAGATGTATTCAGACTTACAGATTCAACCTCTGTGTTTTACTATTCTCAAAACGTGCCTTAGCTTAAGATTATTTTTGATTTATTGTAATAGTTTGAATAGGGGACCTAAAGTTTATAATGGGCTCCATATCATAGTGAAGCCTTATATCTACTTTCACAAAAATTTTTTTTGCGCATTTGTTTGAGGTTGGCAAATACAAACCACACCAGAGGTGGTTGAAACTGAAATATGAAACATCTGGTATGGGACATCATTACCTTATTCTCGGACTGCTATATTTTTGCATAAGCACTCCTTGGCCTTCTAACTCAGTTTTTGCCTTAACCACATGATGTAAAATCTTTCCTAATTTATATTCAGACAAGTGGTAGAATTCATTGGTGGATCATAGTGTTTCTAGGCCTCTACCTACACAAATATGTGATTTGAACCAGTGATTACATTGCTTGAGCAATTAATAAACATGTGCACCTTAGAATGCATGGCTCCCAGGTTTGGTCTAGTCAGTTTTGTGTTCATACAGAATGTTTAAGCTAATCAGTCATAGATAATGCCTGACTAAAAATCAGATCGTCAGTAAGTTTACTGTCCAAGAACGTGATGTAAAAATGGTGTACTTTGATTTCATCCTGTGACGTCAGAGTGATAAATCTTCTATGATGAATTTCTACTTGTAATTGCATGAGCAATGATGAGGCAGAATTTTCTTTGACTTAGACAGTCATAATAAAGCTTTATTTCTGAATTTTCATTCTTCATAGTCATAATTGCAACAACTCTTGTTAAGTTTACATACCAATCATGGATTTAGTTATAACTAGTAGTGTATCTGGGGGAGGGTGTATTTTGAAAAATATTAGATTAAGATAACTATTCTGTTTGCACAAGTTTTGGCTCCTTCATAAAATCTTTTACATCAAAAATTTTAATGAATAAAATTCGGGTGTTAAATTTTCAAGTTATGATAATGAAGTCAGAAGAATATCCATGGTTGTGCATGCACAGATTTGTTCAACAGACAAAAACCCTGAAGTATGGTCATTAAATGCCTGTTTCATCTTTGTTTCAAATTCTCTGTTTTGACAACTGAAAAATTGTGTCAGTTTACACTTCTTTAATGCCATAAATATATTTTACACTCATTGTAAATAAATGTATTTTCAAGGTGCAATGTACATGTACTGTTCATGAATATGTGACAAGCCATTGCAGAAAATGATTTTGATAATCATTGCATGATTTTGCAGAGGCTTGGTGTTGTGCCCATCTTTCTTGACTTTGATTGTGCCCCTACACCATGTTGAATCCATACAAAAATATGAGTTTGATGACATCTAACCTATGATGAAAATTTTTTTTATTCTTGTACATACCATACATTTCCACATCATAAATTATTGAATCCATTTGGGACACCCTGATGATGGAGGCAGTTAAGACCTCTGAAAGGTTGATAAACATCTACCAGATTACATTACAACCCAGAAGACAGCCATGTTTGTACCTACCACCTAGAGAACCTCAAGTCCTACTTATGACAGCCCTAGTATTTGCTTTATTCCCTCTTTTAAAAATCTCATTTTTAACTGTGGTTATTGTAAAAGAAGACAGAATTGTGTAATATGTCTGTCCTATTTATTTTTCTTTGCCTGTCACTGTGGCCACCCCATTAATAAATAAAATGAGTGTGTTTCTTACTGGACTGAAAAGTTATCTAATGATCATCTGGTGTATTTCTTATGAAACAAAATAGTTCCTTTTAATATTAGTAGACTCTTTTGCTTTAATTTTAATTGGTAAATACATGGTCTGTTATGAATTATACTTACCTCCTGTGTTGTAATGAGTTAGTTCTACTTGTCAATTGAGATTGCTAAATTCTTTAACTTTTTCATTGTCTGATATTCAAAATAACACGTTTCGGAAACTGGATCTGTTTTTCAGAAATGTGTTCTTTGAATACCAGACGATGGGCAAAGTGTATCTCTTTTATTTGCTGTGGCATTTCTTTTCATTATTAACATGTCTAGGTTGAAATTAAAATTCTTTTGACATTTTATTGGAATTAGCGGTTATCTTATTTTGAATTAACACATTTAACATGAAGTGACATATTTTGTGTTTTTCAGTTTGACTCGGGGATACAGAGATTCATGTCCATGAGGGCAACGGAATATGACCACTTCAAAGCAACTCCCAAAACTTCATTGTATGGTTTAGGCTTCGTTGTGATTCCCATCATTGCATATGGCTACATGTTGAAGAGTTCTAGGGTAAGATATTCATGATATGAAATTAACATATTAAAATAAACTATTATAGTAGTGATATTCAGTAGCACTTGTGACTGAAGCATGTACTAATCACATGTACTCTGATTGGAAGGAACAAATGGGGAGGGGGCACAGAAACATAGAACATATTGATGCCAAATGTAGCACTGGAACATTGGTTTCCAGTGAATGTCAATTTTTTTGTTGCATGTATATTAATGCAAATAAACAAATACTCATACTGTTTTTTAATTTGTGAGCTTAGCTATACAAATCCACAACTTTCTTCTGTATCAGAAAATAAGGTTACAACACAAGGAACAAGTGTGAACTGACAGTGTAGTTTGGCTGCTGATACTTCTGTCATACAGCTTCTGAAGTGGACCTCCTATGCACTGATTAGTCACTCTCAAAGAGCAGAACTCATCTCAGCCATCACTTCTACTGAGAAACACTATAACAGGAGGACAGTTTATCATTCGACCAGGTTTTACTCTCAGATTACTGTGTTGTCAGTAGCTACTAAGAACAGCATGTATTTGTACATTAATCACTTTGTATTCCAGACTTCACGTATCTCAAAGGGTTTTCTTATACAGTATTTTCTGTAAAAAGCATATAATGACCAAAAAGGAAACACCAAAATGATGTAGCGTAGCAATCCTGCTTTGCTTTTGAAACTACAATGGCACTGTTAAAACTGAGCCCGTACACAACTAAATTTGTACAGAATTTTATGTTTTCAGATTGTGTTTAACCCTTGAGGACCCACAATAATTATACAGACCACATACTGTACCAATCAGTAGCTCTGCATTTTGTTCACAGTTTATGGATTTTGTATGATTCACAGAATAAGTCTAATGGTTATTGCAGTAATCGTTTGATTTGTAGACAGTTTGTATTCTTAAGGTGCCAGACCCAAAGTTCCCACACCATGTGGCTCAACGTGTCATTGAATCTCCCTAAGCGTGAGGCCGGGGGCGGCTTATACGGTAGCAAAAGTGTTAGAATGGTATTTTCTTAAGATTTTATAACGGAGTCGGCACATTTTTACCGACTCCGACTCCACCTAAAACTGACTCAGACTCCACAGCCCTGATTTAAATATCACTTAGACGAGCTTCAACTTCTGAGGGTTACGTAACCTCATAAAATGTTAAGCAACCACTGTCTAGAGTTCTCAGTTTAGTAAATCGCCTACCATACAATAAATTAAATTTAGCCATCAGGCTGATGTGTCTATAATTATTATCTCAAGATGTGAGGCCTCCTGAGAAACGGAAAACTGGCACTTCGAGGATTGTCTGTAAAGTTGTGGAAGTTATTTTGACTCCATGGGAAAAGGAAGTAGTGATTTCTTAGCTGTGATCTGTCAGAGTGTATGGCAATGAAACCATTTTTATGACACTTGGCTCATAGATAAACTGTTCTCTCTGTATGTTTACATCTGTACTGAAAGCCATTTAAAATTATATAGGGTGGTAAAATTAGTGTTTTTTGTTGCTAACTCGGCTATTTTCTATGCTAGTGTTAACAGAAAAACTTATTGTCATATGATTCATCAATCCCTGCACAATTTAATTAGTTGACTGATAATATCACATGAGACTTAAAGGCATCACCAGAGAGTATGACAAAGTCATAACATAATCATAGCTAATAAATCCTTTGAAATGTGGTCAGTTTAAAATATTTGGTGACAACAATACCAATCAAAATTGCACATTCATGAACTATTGAAGAACAGATTAAGTATGGGGAATGCTACTATTCAGTTCAGAATCAGCTGTTATCCCATCTGATATCAAAAAACAGAAAGAGTCAAATGTAAAGTAAAGTAAAGTTTGTCCTGCTACGTGCCGTATAGGCACTTGGAGTGAATGGAGGTATAGCTCCTCTCTTCCTTTGACCTCGGCACTAGATGGGGGTGAGTGGTCAGCATCACGCCCCGGCCGGCTTTACCCCCGGGAAAGGACCCCGGTACCCATTGTAGAGGAGGCTGGGTGGGCCCTAGAACTGGTCTGGATGCAGAGGCTAGAGGAAAAATCCTCTGCCCCCGTCGGGGATCGAACCCCGGCCGTCCAATCCGTAGCTAGTCACTATACTGACTGAGCTATTCCGGCTCAGAAAGAGTCAAATGTACAAAACTGTAATTGTAACTGTTGTTTTGTGTGTGTATATATGCACAGGGTTGCATGCGTGTAAATCTTGGTCTCTCACATTAAGCAAAAAAAATCAAAGAACACGTATCGAGGGTGTTTATAACAGGGTGCTTTGGAGAATATTTGAATCAAAAAGGGGTTGAAGTGACAGGGGGCTGAAGAAAATTGCATCATGAGGAGTTTCATAATTTGTACTCTTCACCAGTGGTCAAAACAATATGCATAAGGTATGTGAGTAACATGTACAGAATTTTGGTAGGAAGGCCTGCAGGGAAGAGACTAGTCAGAAGACAGCAAATATGGAAGGTGCATATTAAAATGCCTTGGTAATCAGCATGTAGATTTTGCAGAGCAAAGGCAGACTTGGCCATTATTTTTATTTGAACAGTATGTGCATTTCCTTCTCTTCGACACTGCCCATAGTTTCTGCATTCTTTCTGGGGTCTTAGAGCTGGGACACAGATAGTACTGTAGTTGCTTTATGGTCCACATTTATTGAACTTTGACACAAGATAAGTATTGTGTTCCTTGTGACTTTTTATTTTTTAAAAGTTAAAGGTTATCAGAAGCACACTAATGCATTATTTCATTACAGTAGTTTTGAGTAAACCTAATTTTTCCCATGGAAACATTTGTTTTGTTATGATGAAAAGTAGTATGTGTGTTGTCTTTGAAATATGGTCATGGTGATTGATTGATAAATTAAACTGTACTGTAGCAATTAGTGAAGAGTGAAGGCTGGGGAAAAGTGGTGGAACATGAATGAATGCTTTCATTCACACATTGGTCAATATTGTATTTAACTATAAATATTTGCATTGTTTGCAAATGTTACATCTCCTGTAGTGTGTTCTGGTAAGAGAAATTTGATAAAAATAGCCATATGGCTTTCATAAATACTTGTTAAAAAATTCTGTGATAATTTTGCATGCCAAGTTTGCCTAAGAAGGATTTGCAATATCTGAAATTTGGTAATAATATATTGTAATTTTATTATGACGGTTACCAGTAGAGGCTTGCATATTTAAATTCACCTGTTCCACAGGAAAGTGAACATGATCATACTAGAATTTTATTTAGGATGTTCTCATTATAAATTCCCTTCATATACCAATAAATGAGAACGCTGCCTTTTTGTTAGAGTTTTTTCTTTAACTGGATTTGAAATTTTAATTATTGCAACTGCATAGTGTGTGTGTGTATATATATATATATATATATATTTGTGTGTGTATATATGCACAGGGTTGCATGCGTGTAAATCTTGGTCTCTCACATTAAGCAAAAAAAATCAAAGAACACGTATCGAGGGTGTTTATAACAGGGTGCTTTGGAGAATATTTGAATCAAAAAGGGGTTGAAGTGACAGGGGGCTGAAGAAAATTGCATCATGAGGAGTTTCATAATTTGTACTCTTCACCAGTGGTCAAAACAATATGCATAAGGTATGTGAGTAACATGTACAGAATTTTGGTAGGAAGGCCTGCAGGGAAGAGACTAGTCAGAAGACAGCAAATATGGAAGGTGCATATTAAAATGCCTTGGTAATCAGCATGTAGATTTTGCAGAGCAAAGGCAGACTTGGCCATTATTTTTATTTGAACAGTATGTGCATTTCCTTCTCTTCGACACTGCCCATAGTTTCTGCATTCTTTCTGGGGTCTTAGAGCTGGGACACAGATAGTACTGTAGTTGCTTTATGGTCCACATTTATTGAACTTTGACACAAGATAAGTATTGTGTTCCTTGTGACTTTTTATTTTTTAAAAGTTAAAGGTTATCAGAAGCACACTAATGCATTATTTCATTACAGTAGTTTTGAGTAAACCTAATTTTTCCCATGGAAACATTTGTTTTGTTATGATGAAAAGTAGTATGTGTGTTGTCTTTGAAATATGGTCATGGTGATTGATTGATAAATTAAACTGTACTGTAGCAATTAGTGAAGAGTGAAGGCTGGGGAAAAGTGGTGGAACATGAATGAATGCTTTCATTCACACATTGGTCAATATTGTATTTAACTATAAATATTTGCATTGTTTGCAAATGTTACATCTCCTGTAGTGTGTTCTGGTAAGAGAAATTTGATAAAAATAGCCATATGGCTTTCATAAATACTTGTTAAAAAATTCTGTGATAATTTTGCATGCCAAGTTTGCCTAAGAAGGATTTGCAATATCTGAAATTTGGTAATAATATATTGTAATTTTATTATGACGGTTACCAGTAGAGGCTTGCATATTTAAATTCACCTGTTCCACAGGAAAGTGAACATGATCATACTAGAATTTTATTTAGGATGTTCTCATTATAAATTCCCTTCATATACCAATAAATGAGAACGCTGCCTTTTTGTTAGAGTTTTTTCTTTAACTGGATTTGAAATTTTAATTATTGCAACTGCATAGTGTGTGTGTGTATATATATATATACATTTATTTTAACATATCTAGCTTTTTGAGGTGAAAAGTCATTTAAATATATTTAAAATCACAGTACAGTTTCAAAGAATAATTTTTTTATTTACTTGATTATTCAGTGATAAAAGATCCCTTCAATCTTCAACTGTCATCTACAGAAGCATACTCATTTATTTAGTGGTATTTTATTTGCCAGTTGATGTTGGCCATACTGATAATTTACATTGTCTTCCTTTTTTATACATCTCATTAAAGTGTAGTACTGTGAAACAAACTTACCATTAAAAAACATATTTGAGTCAAGTAATATAGACTTGCTTTTAGTCACCCGCTAGAAACATGTTTTGGGTAACTCCAGCTTTCAGGGTGTAGTCATGCTGTGTGTTGAAGCTATTCCATTTTGGTGGACATTACGGGTACCATCTTTATGGTGACGTGGCAGAGGGAATGGGACAAGATAGCAACTGCGTTGTTTGCCAAAACATTGGGAAAGCGTAAACATAAAACGCGGCTAAATAGAGTTGAATTCTTGTCACTAGGATTTCATGGCTGGAGTTCAGCTTTGGCTTTTGGGTGTGAGCCACGTTGAATATTGAGAATTATCCAACATTTCAACAACATTGCATCCTGGACATTTTGCCCAAGAGGAAAGTTGTAACTGTAATTTAGAACATGCCTTAAATCAGTGGTATTCAACCTGGGGTACGCCAAGTCATCTTAGGGGGTACATGAAATTTAAAAAAAAAAATGTATATATATTATTTTATGATAAACACTGAATAATCAGGGCCAGATTTAGGGTTAGCCACAGGAGAACCGGACGTAAGGAGCACCATTTTTTTCTCTCCTTTATGTAATTCTTATCTGGGCGGCAGAAACAAGCTCAATCATCTCATTAACAGGTCTGAACCACATTAATTAATAATTTATAAAATATTTAAACATATTATTTTGCTTTGCTAAAATACCTTTGTTCCTTTATTAATTTTTATATGATAGACAGTAATGTTTTTGTTATTTAATAGCTTGATTTTCCTTTTCCTTATTTAAAACTTATTATTTAATACATTATTTTGGATTTAATTTATTTTGTATGTAGATTATATACTATGTATAACTTGAATTATACAACAACTTTGGGGGTACGCGAAGGTTGAATACCACTGCCTTAAATTATCAATAATTCAGTACTTTATAGATGATTCGAACATTATTCTTTATTTATACTGGATTTTAGAAGGCATTATTGATATTAACTACAAAAACAAAGCTGTACCTTTTGTTGTGTAAAGAGACTAGAGTATGTACAGCTGTTGTTTGTAAATGTACTCTAAATGAACTATTTCTTCTTTTTGTACAGGATGCTCAAGAGCACAAGTACCGAACTGGTCAAGTTGCCTACAAGGACAGACGTTTCAAATTTGTTTAAATTTTCTTTCAGATTGTAGAGAGATACTTATGTAAGGCTATGTTTTGTTGCACCATAATAGTGAAAGTATTATCCAAATAAATACATTTCTTCTGTATGATTGGTTTGTCAAAGGTTACTTATGATAAGATCAGATTAGAGTCACTCTGACTTTTGACCTTTGTACAAACATTTGGCATACTCTAACATGGATGGGGAGAATATTGATCATATTATCCACATTGAAACATTCTCTGAAGAGTAAAAATTTTTAATGATCAACAGAACAGAACTTTAGAGGAAGAAAATTTAATACCAGAATAATGTAGCTAAGACTAAATATGAGCACCCTCACTCCTTGGGTATGTGAATCAACAAGTTTATGTTATAATAGTTCAAAGGAATACCACAGCCACAATACTGTGGCACTGAATGAGTTCTTGTAACGAGTAAAGTGGGTATGACTTTTTGACATCTTATTTTTACTATTGTCGGTATGATGTCTATGCATGCCATGCCTTTTCTACAACTTCACTGAAGTAGATATGACAATCTTCAGCACGGCAGTAACAACTAGTATGATCAGACCGTCCTGAATTTGAATCTGTGCTAGTTAACATTATAGTAGGGCCTGTGAAAAGTACTACTGCAAGATATTAATGTAGTGGTGGATTATAATGGTGATACTGATCAAATATGAAAATTCTGACAGTTAAGAGAGTCAGCTTTGATGTTGAAGATAAGTCAATAAATAACGAAGGTTGACATGGAGCAAAGTACATTGGAAAGTTCAGCACTGAATGATAACATTTTCCACTTAGTGACAAATCATACCTAAATGTTGATTTAGTAGCCACTTGAATATTGTGAGTTGTCAGTTATACCTGAGATTGACAAACTAATAAGCACAGAAAGAAAGTGTCCATGGTGATAATGAAATAGGAAATATATTTGACTTATGAGTTAATGCTGATGATGATTCTAGAGTTCAGTACCAAGACATCATGAAGAACATAAGTTCTTTTGTTCATCTACAGCAGCTCCATACATAGAGCAAGAAGTACAAGTGATAGTATAAGCTTACACAGTTGCCCTCAGTGGACTAGTGGTTAGCATGCTCACCAGTGTACCCAAGGTTCAAGGGTTCAAACCTGACTGAGGTCAATGGATTTTTAAGGGTGATAAAATTCCTTATCACAACTTCCTTCAGAGGAGAAGTAAAGCCAGCGGTCCCATGTCGTAGATTTATGGCATGTAAAAGAACCTTACGAGCATGAACGAGATATTTCATAAGCAAAATTCAGCAGCCATTTCTCACCCAAGTCCCCTGATTAACTGCTAGATGGCTTGCAGTCAAATCAGGATTGTGCAGAGTTAGTGGGTTGGTCACTCACTACTCACAGATGCATACTTCAAAGATTAGGAAACCTCTGAATAGTAGACGACCAAGACCCACAAAAGCTTATACAATGTTATCATTGACTCCGCTACAGCAGTGTGTTTATAAGTTTGTTTATTGACCCATGTATTTGCCAAGATCTTATTTTGTTTCATTTCTAAATACTAGACTTTGGTCAGGACTACATAACACACGTGTGCATCATTCAGCAGTACATCTGTGGCCACTATACACTGCAACTGACATTGTCAGTGGCTTGGTTATTAAGTATGAACTTAAAAGTGTTGAGTGTTTCGATTAGGAAAGAAAAAAAGTAAAACATCTTTTATGCAAAAGCTCTATAGTTGAAAATATGTATATACAAGATCTGATAAAAACTGGTTTTGTAAAGAGTTTTTGTTTTACAATTTTGTAGTAATAACAAATGACTGCAATACTGAATTTTAAAAGAAATACTGAAGTTAAATGGCTGTTATAACAGACGTCTTTTAGATACCCACTGTAGGAGTGATAACCCAGAAATATACCGCTTAAATGGTTATAACCCCCTTAAATGAAGTACCAAGTGATCCAAGGGAGCAAACATCAAAATATGTTATCCTCAGTCATAACTGAAACTAGTCTGAAAATGTAATTTGTTGTTGCACTTCACATCTTTCAGGACTTCATTGTGGTTTAAAATGTTTTCTAAAATTGTTTGTGAATTATACCTGTGAGAGGCATAGGGCTACATTGAAGCTTTACCTTCATACCCTTTTTCCAACTTTTATATGGATTTTCTATATCATCTGAGGCAGTGTCTACATACAGTCAAATGTTGTAGTTGAGTGGCCAATTTTGTTGTTGTATTCGTGAGGTTCTTGCTCAGATATGGCCTGAAATGATGTCTGCATTTTTTCCCTACCAAAATTGTTTTCTAAAAAAATTGGTGAATGATATATAAGACAGTGGTCCATCATGGGAGTTACCAGTCTTCATATTAGGATTTAGAAGAGATATTGTTCTCTTTTTACAATCATTTCAAAATTTAGATTTCACTATGACTAATTGATCATGCTACTGAAAGTCAACTCACTGGGGTATTTTTTTACTCTCCCTGTCATCAGCATTACAAGTATGGAGACTAAAAGTCACTGTCCATTTTTTTAGATCTCCTGGCTAAGTACAATTTTTTTCCCCTCCCAAAACTTTTTAAAATGGGCTGATAAAGTACTCAAACTATAATATAAAATAAAACTCAAACTATATCTCATTCTGGAAAAAGAACATGGTAATCACATGAACATTTATAGTCCAGTGGTAATTATGTTCCACCAACTTCAACAGTAAGTAATTTTTAATGTTGTATGTATGGGTTTCATACAATTCTCATTTTTAACAGGGATTATTTCCGTAAACAGCATTAACCAATTGATCTTTGTAATGGAGAAGTGTAGTGTTTTCTTTGTGGTGCAGACTGAATTCTTAAATATTTAGATGTGCTTCAGCTTCAAAGGGTTAATGGAGATGATGTTGCTCTTGACACTATAATTCTAGTGTCCAAACTGTACATTAGATGTTATGGAAAATATACGGACCAAAATGTGAACAACGGGTGTGAAGAATAAGGACTAACTTGGAACTGCATGTAACGGAGATAAAAGTCAGGAGATGGAGCCTTCGCGGCTGAAAAGGTGTTCGTCTCAAAACCCGAAGGTAGACGTGATATTGGAAGACGGAAATTGAGATGGTTGAATGGCTATCAAGAGAGAGGCTAAGGTTAAATTAAAAGGACCGTGAAGCCACAGAAGAAGAAACTGTACATCAATGGCAAATGCTTTTAATAAACTTTACAGCTGGTCTCATACTCAAACTGATAAGATCTCACAAAATCCAGCACAACTGTGACATTCCAGTTGTGTGTTGATAATGAGCAGTTTTATTCCATAATGGTTCCAGGCAGAAGTTTGCATAAGTGATTCACATTAGTATGATTGAATATGCTCTGTATGTCTTAAAGTCTTAGACCTAATATATTTTAAGGTATGTACAGACCTGGATACTTTGTTTCAAAATGTTGTATCACACATTTCAATGATTTTGTATTGGGACTACTACAGTAGAATCAGAATACAGTTGCTAAATGATGTTGCTTGTCTGCACCTATCAGC